AGGAAAATTCCCAAAAAAACCTTGGAAAAAGCTCCACTGTAAAACCCGGCCTGTCCTCTGCCTGATCCTGGGCAATGCCATCAATCCCACAGCAATTCCTCATCCATTTTTATAACATTTGGAAAAAAATCATTCCCAAAATTCAGATGTTGCTGATCTGGGGCCTCTAGGAAATGAAAGCCAGGAGAATTTGGGGAGTTTTTCCTGTTTTTTGTGAGGAAAATTCCCAAAGAAACCTTGGAAAAAGGCTCCACTGTAAAACCTGGCCTATCCTCTGCCTGATTCTAGGCAATGCCATCAATCCCACAGCAATTTCTTTCCCAAAATTCAGATTTTGCTGATTTGGGACCTCTATGAAACGAAAGCCAGGAGAATTTGGGGAGTTTTTCCTGTTTTTTGTGAGGAAAATTCCCAAAGAAACCTTGGAAAAAAGCTCCACTTTGAAACCCGGCCTGTCCTCTGCCTGATTCTGGGCAATGCCATCAATCCCACAGCAATTCCTCATCCATTTTTATAACATTCAGAAAAAAATCTTTCCCAAAATTCAGATGTTGCTGATCTGGGGCCTCTAGGAAATGAAAGCCAGGAGAATTTTTCCTGGTTTTTGTGAGGAAAATTCCCAAAAAAACCTTGGAAAAAAGCTCCACTCTAAAACCCGGCCTGTCCTCTGGCTGACTGTGGGCAATGGGGAAGCACAGCCATCAATCCCACAGCAATTCCTCATCCATTTTTATAACATTTGGAAAAAAATCTTTCACAAAATTCAGATGTTGCTGATTTGGGGCCTCTAGGAAACGAAAGCCAGGAGAATTTGGGGAGTTTTTCCTGTTTTTTGTGAGGAAAATTCCCAAAAAAACCTTGGAAAAAAGCTCCACTGTAAAACCCGGCCTGTCCTCTGCCTGATTCTGGGCAATGCCATAAATCCCACAGCAATTCCTCATCCATTTTTATAACATTTGGAAAAAAATCTTTCCCAAAATTCAGATGTTGCTGATTTGGGGCCTCAATGAAACAAAAGCCAGGAGAATTTTTTGGGGAGTTTTTCCTGGTTTGTGATTTTGCCCCCCTGCCCTCCTCACCTGGTTGTCATCCCGATCCATGCTGGTGTC